AGAGGCCGGCGCCGCGGGCGGGCGGTGCAGTAGAGAGGGAAGGGCGGCCTCCCCGCCGCTCCCCTTCCTTTCCCTGGTCCCAGGGGGGGCTCGGAGCCGTGTAAGATTGGGAAGGGACAGGGGCGCGCTGCTGGGTTGCGACCTGAGGCGGTGGGGACAGGTCGGGTATCCTGCGGGGTCTGGGGACGGGAGCGTAGCGAGGCACAGTGCAGGCAGGGCGTTTCTTGGGGCCGCGGGCGCTATTTTCTTTGCAGGTAATTACGCGTCTTTCATGGACACGAGCGCTTTCCGCCTCCAGAGCTTGGCGATTTGGCTCTTTCCAGGGAAACAGTGGCTGGGCGGTTGCGGATGCGCCTGGCTGCTGAGTCCCAGGACACTGCACTGGGAAGCTTGGACGGCACTTAGGAGCTCCTTCCCCTTTCCTGTCCACAGTGTCGGCGGGCAGTTTCAACACTCACACTCAGAATGACCCATCGCACCCACACCGACGCACACTCAAGTGCACCCTGATCACACATTCACACGCATGTATACAGACTGTTCTTCACTCGGCACCAGTAGCCACTCTTCCTTCTCCAGAGACTGTGAGGTGGAGACATGTGTGTGCCCGGTTCTCCAGGGCTCCCACGCCTCCAGCCAAGCTGGCCAGTCCTGGATGGAGTTTAAGAGAAGCAGGCTGGTGGGGTGCTCGCTGGGACTCAAAAGAGCCCCCCTTCTGAGGCCCGAATGAACTTCATAAAGCCTGGGCAGGAGCTGACTCGCTCCTTATTGCACTCTGTGCTGGGACAGGAAAAGGGGGTTCTTGGGGGCCACGTCATGCCTTCCCCGCAAGCAGGATGGAGAACACTGTCTCCACCATGCAGACTGCCCAGGCCTCCTCCATCCAAGAACCAGCCTGAGAAGCCTCCCCTCTGTGCCTGGGGAACCAGACCCTTTTCTGAGGGCCGGGTGGTGGGTAGTTGGTGCTTGAAGAGCCAAGCAGACGCCATAGTTTGGGGAGGAATTCTGGGGGTCTTGTCGCGGTGGAAGCACATGCTTCTGTTTGCGATGGTGGAGGCAGTGATCTGGTCAGAAGCCCAGAAGGGGAACATGCGTTCAAAGTGAAAGTGGGCGCATTCCACGGAACGTAGGGGTGTCCGAGGGCTCCAGTCCCTTCCACCCCAGGTGGGCTGGTGAGCTGCCAGGTATGGACCTGCCGTCTGGTCCCAGCTTGCAGACTCAGCCCTAAACTGGGGGCACTTTGAATATCCCCAGGCCCTGCATCCCCACTCCCATCCTGCCTCTCTGCTCTCCAAGGCTCCTGGTCTTCCTGCAAGGTCCAGACCAAGACGGCTGGGCTCCGGCTTTTATCCATTCTGATCTCCAGGTTTGCCCGGACCAATGTAAGTGTTGCCCAATAAAACCTTCTGTGACCCCCCCCCCTCCCACCCCCTTCAACCATACACACCACCAGTGTGTCCTTTCCCTGCTGCCTTAGCTCCGGGTAAATATTGATTTGCCCCCAGTTTACCTCCTCTCTGACTGTCCAGTTGCAGACTAAAACACCGGCCTCTGTAGGGACCTGATTTTTGTGTGACTTTCCGGGGCCTGTTTCCCCCTTCCTTCCTCCAAGCGGCATAGTAAAACTCGAGGTGACAAAGAGGCAGGGTAGGGTTCAAGGCCCCAGTTCCTGACGACTTGAGGGCTATTTTACATACGGGTCAGACAGGGCTGGAGGCCAAGGTCAAGTTGAACATTGCAGTCTAGCCAATCTGAGAACTGCCATGCAAGCCTGGAAACCCAGGCAGCTGTGAAAGGCCCACCGCCCATCTCCCCTCACTCCTGACTCCTTTCTCCTTGGGAATTCTTGTTTCTGGCTCTGTTCGGTCATGGAGCAGTTTTTGCTGCCTTTGTGGAGTTTTTCGGGCGGTGTTTACAGACTCTTCTTCTCTGCCTCCGCCCTGCTCTTGGCTCAAGCTTCAAGCCTCTTCTGTTTTCTAGCCAGACCTGGAATAACGAAAACACAGCTCGGGGAGCCCCCACCGAGCTGGCGCCTGTGCCAGCTCACCTCTGGCCATGGCGCAGCTGCCGGTGCACACAGCGGCCAAGGCAAGGCCAGCTCCACATTCCTCCATCCCTCTCCCCACTTCACCGGAGACCGAGCCCTGCGTGCAGAGGAAGGGCCCCAGCCCCACAGACTGCCAAAGTCGACTGGGTCTCTCCTCACCAAAAATGGTGAGACAGGATGCTGAGGAGCCCTGAGCAAGCAGGTTTGTCTGGGAGGGACGGCGCTGGGGAAAAGCTTCGGGTTGCATCTCAGATTAGGCTTTTGTCCCTGCGTGGCGGCCCCGCCAGGGAAGGGCTTCCAGCCTGGATTATTTACGGAGTGGGCTGTCCAGGGCACAGCCGCCTGATCTTTCGTGATCAACTTATCCGGACACTTTCTTATTTCTCTATCAACTTTCAAACACTCTCCAGACATGGTTACTTGGAGGGGGGGCAACCTGTGTTCCCTTTCCCTTCATGCCTTGGATCTCGATATAGGAAATGATTGTTCTGTCAGGCAAGTCAGTGGCGTCCTGGCATGCCGTCACTGTTTTTAAAAGTCTGCAGGCTCCGGGAGATATAGAGCTGTAGCCACTGACCAGCGGGGATGGTCTATAGAATCTGAATGAGCTCCGTGGATAATTTTGGGTCTCAGTTTCTAGGATTTCTACTCCCTTTGAAGCAAGAAAATCTCTTTCTCTCCCTTTCTTGTCCTTTGTCAAGGGGCGTGAGAGATTTGTGAATGGTTCCCAACACCCTTTCTTAGCCTCCTAACCCTGCAGGCAGCCACTGCACTGACTTGCTGTGGAAAAAGAAAGGTTGCAGGGCAAGGCAGAACTCGAGTGTGCCCTGGGAAGCGAGCACAGAACCCCAGCGCACTTCTTCCGAACAGCAGGATCAAGATTCTTGCCCGGCTCAGCTAGTTGGTCCTGACCCTCTGTTTTTTTTTTGTTTTTGTTTTTTTTGGTGTCTACCAGACTCAGTCAGGAATTCCTATGGGGTTGCAGAGAGGTGCTATCCACTTGAATCCTGGCAATAATCATTTTATCCCTTTGTGAGCTAGGCTAAGGAAGCCCGGGCACCCAATGGGATCTGAGGGAGGAAGTGGCCCCTTGAGCAGGAGGGTGGCAGGGGTGGAGGTGTGCCCTGATGTCCCCCAAGGGGGCCCTGACCCGGCCGAAGGGGCCAGATGGGAGGATGGTGGCTGGCCAGGGGCATGGCCTTTGTTCCTGGAGCCAGACCCTTTCTTTTGCCAGCCCCTTGGCAGGCATGGCTTCTAGCCTCTTAGGGCCAGTCAGGGTGCCCATGGGCCTCACTATTCTGGAGTCTCCTTCTGAAGAAAGAGAACTTGGCTATTTTTTGGGGGGGGGACAGTGGGGGGCTCCTTACCAGCCTGGGCCATGGCGAGCTGGGCTCCTGGGGTTAGAAGAGAAAAGGACAAAGGGAAACGGGGTTTTAATCGAGTTTGATTTTCACTAGCAAATGAAATTTACCTGCTCTCACTCTAACTGGGAGGAGGCTGTCAGCACTGCTTTCTCTGCGTCCACCCAGCATTAGGATAAACATTCCTCGGTTGGTTTTAAAGACACTTTGTATTTCAAGATATTCATGTGTTTCTAATGTATCCAAGCAGCTTTACGAGCGGCATTTGCAGAACATCTTAACCCTCTCTCTCCCACGGCAGGAGGGGTGGGGCTGCAGAGATAATGGCAAAGGAAGAGAGATATGGAGGAGGGAATGGCAGAGAAGCCGAGGCTAGCTGAGCAGGAAAGAGAAAGAGATTTGGGGGAAAAAACTGAACAGGAAAGAACCCCGGATCTGCAGTCCACTAGACCACCTGGGGAAGAGACAAGTGTAGGGCATTCTGGTCACAGTGGGCTCTGTGGGTTTCCCCACCCTTATTCCACCGGGGTGGAAGCTGCACTCTTTCTTCTCCTCCTCTTCTCTTCTTTCTCTTCTCTTCTCTTCTCTTCTCTTCTCTTCTCTTCTCTTCTCTTCTCTTCTCTTCTCTTCTCTTCTCTTCTCTTCCTTCCTTTTAAGGAGGAAGGGTAAGTTCTGAAGAGACCTGAGCTGAAGCTGGGCAGTAGGCAGGGCAATGGCCTACCCTGAGCCACTTGCTCAAGCTTTGGTTCTAGCTTTTTGTGCATTTGGAAGCATTAATGGGGCAGCAAAAGGCCCAAGGCTGTGGGGACAGTTTTTAACTCTGGGAAGTCATGTGGCTCCGTGGTGAACCGGTGCTCACAGTGACAATGAAAGTGCAAGCTCCAGGGAGACCCACACAAACTGCACTTGGCCATTCAGATCCCCTCACCCCGTGGATGTGAGGACAGCAAGTTTGGGGGGGAGCAGCTCTTCAGATGTGGGGGGAACCGGGGTCCTTCAGTGCCAGGCCTGCCAGGCCAGCGGTGCACAGCGCCTGGGAAAGGAGGTGGCAGGAGCCCCGGGAAGACCTCCGTGGCAGTGTTGTTCCCAGAAAGTCCCCGAGCAAGGAGAGGGCCGCCCCCACCCCCGACCCAGCTCCTCTGAGGAGCAGCCGCCTTTGCACAAGGCCAGCCAGCGCACCCAGACCCCCCAGGGCTGGCGCAAACCTGGATGAGGGGCGCCTTCCGCCTCTGAGACTGGCTGCCGTGGGGCTCAGGGAGGCCTGGGTGACTCCGCCAGCGGCGGCGGTGATGGCGAGGGAGACCTGCCTGCCCCGACGGGGCCCGCCGCTGCTCTGCCCTGGCCGGGACCTGGACGCTCAGCCTCCGGGCAAAAGACCAGAGCAAGCGCCCGAGGCAGGGGGGACGGGGGAGCGCTCGCCCGAAGGAGGAGTCGCCTTCTCCAAGATCTCAGCTGGCCCCTGGACTCGGACCCACGCCGCCCAGGGCAGGGCTGAGCGGGCTCTGTCCCGAGCTTATCGGTGCCCGCGCCCGCCTCCGCCCCGTCCTAGCTGGACGCTCCCGCCCGCCACCAAACAGGAAACCGGCGCCGGGCTTCGGCTTCATTGTGTCAACAAACAGAAGACAGTGGAGAGTCTGAAGGAGCCGGGGCTCTACACTAAGCCGGCCCGCCGAGTCCCGGCTTTTTCTCGCGGAGAAACCGGTGCAGCAGCCAGGCGCCTGGGCCCGCGTGAGTCCCTCTCTCCTGAACCCTAATGCCCCCCCGCCCCCCGTTCCGAGCCGGGCGGCGAGTTCCTAACGCCGAGGGCAATGAAGGAGGGAGACTCACCAGCGCAGCCCCGGGGAAGGGGAGTCAGAACAGAGCACAGAGGGGTGCGCAGACCGGCCCCAGCGCGTTCCACGCTGTAATCACGGCGTGTGTGCCTCGATATGTACACGCAGATTCACGCGCCCAGTGCCCACACACAGTGGGAGCGACACCCCACGTCGCGTGGGTGAAGCCCGGGCATCCGTCCGGAGGAGACATAGTCCACCCTGTCCGACCAACTGGGTGACATCGTTGGGGTGGCTGGCGTCTTCCTGCCCGTTCTGAGATTTCCTCCCATTCAGCGTCCCCTCCCCAAGCGGCTGCGTCAATACACCTGTGCCCGGTGGCAGGCGAGCCCCGACTGGCATTTACCTGGCCCGGGTGTCCTCCCCGACACTCGGGCTGGCCCTGGGGCCCCGCGCGGAGCCGACCCGGGTGCGGACGCCGCTCAGGGCGCAGTCGCAGCTCCTTTGTCCGGTGGCTCCAGCCCCGCTCAGCCCAAGGCTCAGGGAAACGAAGCAGCTCAATAAAAACTTTGGATATTAGTTTTTATGGGTATTTGCACTCTGGTCCGAGGAGCTGAGTACGGAAGCTCCGTTAATCAGCCCCACAACCTCCCGTTCGGATGCTCAGTTTATGGGTGGGGACAGGGAGATGGCCGGCTGGTCCCTGAGAAATGAACAGGGAGCAAGGTCGTTTTCCGTCCTTGAAAAACAAGGTTAAATGAGTCCCTCCAGGGGCTACCCAACTGGACTGTGTTTTTATTTGAGCCTCCTGGCAGGGAGAATTTTTCCACCTTTGCCTAATACAACATTTAAAAAAAATCTTTTTTATTATGGAATTTTCCAAATGCACGCAAAAGCGAATGAACCCCTATATACCCAACTCCCACCATTATCATTTTGTCTTTCAAGTTTCATCACCCACGTCCACTTTTTTTTTTTTTTTTTTAGTATTTTATAAAGAATTCTAGTTGGGAGTCGAATCATTCCATTCTCAACTAAGGTTTTGAGGATAAATTTCAAGGTTGAGCAAAATTGCTCAATAAAAAGGAATCCTTCCCATGCCTGAGGGTAAGAGGTCAGTGTGTTTGAACTTGAATTGTTCTGATCACAATCTAGAGAGAATTTAAGGGTCCACCCTAAAGGAATCTGGACAAAAAAGGGGTTTGGGGTGGGAGGCATCTTGCTGGAAATTGTATGTCTCTTCTTTTTCAAACACACATACAGGGCGACTCATGCTACCCTTTCGTGTGTCATCCTTTGATAGGAGATTTCTATTGCTGCATCAGGATTTGGGGAAGAGATGGAAACCATGGCTTAGTCCTTTCTAGGTTCTCGGTTGATATATATTCCCTTCCTATCGGACAAGTGGCAGTGTTGTATTTCAGCACACCTCTTCCCCTGGTGGAAACCAAAAAGAGATTTCTAGTGATTAAGCCAGGAAGGGAGTGTTTGTCAGAATTCATAGCCCATCATAGCCACCACAGTTTTCAAAAAGAAATGCAGTTCAGTGTACTTTCTTTACAATCTCCTCAGCGGTAATAGATTTTTAAATAAATAAAATCATTGTGGTTTTAATTTGTTTTAATTCAGTGGTCTGGTTGACAATGAGCATACTCCTCCCCAGCAAATTCTGAAGTGTGGTTTAGCGAAAAGCCTGGGCAACTTTAGGAAGCAAAAAGGCGAACGTGAAAAATAGCAAACCCTTGAATCTGACTGGTCCCACCCACTCCGTAAGTTCGAGCCCCAGTCACCTGAGAGGATATTTGTCAGCCTTTCTGAGGCCAAATGTTGGGTTATTTTGCATTTGGATGGTTTATGGTTCCTTAATCAGCCCCCCCACCCACCGCCCCTTTTTTGAGGCATTGTTAAATACCTGGGATGCTCTTATGGTAATATGTGCTAATGCAGCCACTCCTCACATTAGAAAAGAGCTATTTGGCTAAACTCCTAAGGAGTGTGTAAATTAAACAAGAGAGGTCTGTGAACCGAGGTCATATCACTCTTGAACAATTCTCACTGCACCCATCAGGAGCCCCTGGAGATGCTGCCCCAGTCCCTGCCCTGCAGCTGAGGGGCATCGGCAAGATTGTTCCCTATCAGGGCTTTGGGCACAGCCGCTCCTTCGAACAACCGTCATCTCTTGACTCCAGGATGGAGTTCACCACAGGGTTCCGGTCAGGGTCAGGCTGGGAACTGCAGAAGTGAGCCGATGCCATCACAGAGAAGCTGGGAGACACAGAGG